ATTTTGTTTAATTTCCGCTGCGTTTGACCCCGTGCGGTATAGCGAACCCAACAAAACCTTAGGATAGGTTGTTGAATATCAAGAGCAACCAATATGCGAATGCATTTACCTGCTAATGATCCTCCCTGGGAAATATAAACATCTTTAACCTTTTTGAATGCCTTCCCTATTTCGAGCCCAACATCAGCAAAAACCCAATTTAACTGGATGTTCCCGGCTTGAACCCAGATATCAAGCTCCTTGAAGTCTTCATGATCTTCCAATAAATCATCATTCCATTATCTAAGCACTAAGAATTGATTTTCAAACGTCCACCAGTTGCCTTTTGCTACTTTGATTTTATCTTTTATCTACATTCTATGTGAAAATGAACTTATTTTTTTAATATCAACAATTTTCAATTTCTATTTTTTCTTCATTCGATTTGTTCAATAATCTCAATACTTATCAAGAACCGATGCGCACTTTAATATTTGCTTGATATTTATTTGCATCGTCTCCTCAAACACCTTGCTTACTCAACTCATAACTACAATTTTTTCATGTATATACATGAATGTCGTTAGGACTTTGAATTGGTATAATTCGAATAACTACTTCGTTTACTTGATTAAATTTCACTTGAAAAAGAAACAATGAAAAATAAATGGCAGATTCACTTATTTATTAAGTTTGCTTGTGTATTTATTGTTGTATATTGAACCAGATTTTATCTAGATATGTTTCCTTGTAAAGGCAAGGGACTATAATGGAAAGGATATGGACGCGACATTAACACAAATGGAAGGAGAATACTGCAGATATGGACAAGCTAGCACAAGATTCGTCTTATCTCGTAAATAAGGAAAGTCGTGTTTTTACATGGCTTCAGGACTTCTACATTGAAGACGATTCTGAGGATTTTGAAGACTGGAGATTGAAAGAAGCTTACCATTGGTGAAGATTTCAAAGACTCACTACCAAGGGAAGATGTTCATAGTATTTTGAGAGCTCATATTTTTCATTGTATTTCATAGATCTTGTTGAGCTTTCAGTTCGTGTTACTACTGATTGAAAGACACACTTTTATCTTTTCTGTTTTTCTCACGACACTTGAGGAAGTGTTTGTGTGCATGTAGTGATGTAGAGGAATCCACTATATACTTCTAATTCCACGTGATGATAAAAAAACGTAACTAGGAAAATGAAGTATAGGAAAAGTAGGAAGAAAAGGAATTTCTAATCTCGTAAATCTGTACTACGCTACATGCGTGTAACCATTTACTAGTGAAAGATTTTTAAGAGACACAGGATGCTTCCTGAGAAAAAAAATTTGTACCTTCCGGTTTTCGGATCCACAGGAAAACCGACTAATTCGGAATCAAGCCGGGTAGGACCACAAGGGCGGGAAAGCTCTCCCTCAAAAGTTTTAATACTGCTGCATTAATATTTTATTTTCATGTTACACAAACTCGCACACTTCAAATGTATTTGTGTTATGTGGAAGTCCATGTTCACTACATGGTTACAAAAAAAAAAAAAAA